TTTTTTTTTTTTTTTGGTACCAGGGATCCAACTCAGGCCCTTGCACTTTCCAGGCAGGCCGCAGAACCACTGTGCTAAATCTCCGGCCCACATGCTTTTTGTTTTGTTTTTGAGACAGGGCCGGGCTATGCAGCCCAGGTGGGCCTCGAATTCATGCCAATCCCACTGCCTCAGCCTCCCTCCCGAGTGCTGGGATCACAGGTGTGCGTCACCACGCCCGGCTCATCCTTTGGTTCTCTTAAAACCAGGGCCACTGATGAAAGAACCCAAGACTCGGGAGACCCCAGCACTCCCTCCACGCCCACACCAGGGTCCACACACTCTGGGGTCCCCAGGCCCGTGTGTAAGGAGCCCCGAGGACGCCCTTACCCCAGTAGGCCTTTCCCTGCCCAGCGCGTCGGGACCAGCCGCAGCTGCTGCCTCTCCCCTCTGCGGATCACGGTCACGTTCAGGGGCCTCTGAAAGGGAAACGAGGAGACTTGTGATTCCGGTTCAGCAACACTCAAACGACAAGTGCCATGAGGACGTGGCGGTGCCGCCAGCAGTTTCGGGCAGCAGTAACCCTGGAACCACCACGCGCTCCAGCCACCAAATCCCCAGGAAGATAAGGGAAACTGAGAGCAGGGGAGACATCGGTACACCTGTTCACAGAGCGTGATTCACAAGGGCAAAAGGGGAGAAGCAGCTCGAGCTGATGGGCACACAGCAGCCTGCCCACGTAATCGGATGCTATGTGGCCCTGAAAAGAAAAAAATGTGCTGGGCACAGAGGTGCACATGTGTAATGCCAGCACTCTGGAGGCTGAGGCAGGAAGATCACCATAAGTCCGAGGCCAGCCTGGGCTACATAGACCCTGTCTCAAATAAACCAAAAATAAATAAATAAGCAAAAGGTCAAACTATGGCAGATCGATCAATGTAAGCCTCCAGTCTGCCACACAAGGCCCTGGAGGTGACACAGATGCACAGGGAAGGACACGAGCCCTGAATGTGAACCAAGAGACTGTGTCATCATCACGTGCAACTTGCCTTCTTCTTCTAGGAACAGGGGTTGCACCCAGGGCCTTTGCACTGAGCTCCCTTTTGTATTCTGAGATGACCTAACTTGCTAAGTTCCCCATACTGGGCTGGAACTTGCAATCCTCCTGCTTCGGCCTCTGAGTGCTGGGATGATAGGGGGACGCCACCATGTGACTTTTTTTTTTTTTGGTTCAGGGGATCGAACTCGGGACATGGTGCTTATGAGGTGGTGGTGGAAACACTGAGCTAAATCCTGGCCCAGTTTTTGTTTGTGCTTTTTGAAACAAATTTCAATATTTATCCCAGGCTGGCCTCAAACTCACAGCAACCCTTATACCTCAGCCTCCCAAGTGCTGGGATTGCATCCTGCACAATCACGCCCGGCCAAATACACACTCTGAGATGCAGGTGCACGTGTCACTGTCATATACACTGGAGGCTGACAGCCTGGCCTAGCACATGGCTGGAAATACCAGGTTGAGTGAGGAAAGTGTTCGGGGCCGAGGAGCAGCAAGTGTAGAGGTCCTGAGCAGGGACAGTCGAATTGATGGCACAGGTGAAGGCTGTGAAGGCCCCACAACCCTAGGGCCACAGACAGACGCCGGGGGCTGTGGCTCCCCATTTGCACCCTCCTCAGACAACGTGCTGAAGCCCTAACTCTCAACATGACAACATCCAGAGGTGAGGTAAGCCAGGCACAGAGGCTACTACGGAGGCTGAGGCAGGAAGACTGCAAGCTCCAGGCCAACCTAAGCAACTTAGCAAGACCCTGCCGCAAAATAAAAAATAAAACAAGGGCTGGGGGTGTAGCTCAGTGGTAGGTACAGCACTCTGATTAATCACTGCTCCCACAAACAAGAAAGAAAAAGGAAAGGAAGAGCTGGGCCTCTGGAGGAGTTAGGGTACCAGGTGGGGTCGGCCCTGACAACCCCATGAGCCCCTCACCCTCCACTTGCCAGGCACAGCCAGGGCCTCAGCCTCCCAGGCATGCAGCCACTCACCCCCTGGCTGTGCTGGACCACGCTGCTCACGTTCTGCAACGACTGGAAGTTCTGCGCGTTCACAGAGCCGAACTCCATGATCTCATCGTCCACCTGCAGGCCCTGAGAGCAGAAAGAATGGAACAGGCACTCTGCGGGGCTCTACCCTTCAACACCCGGCTAGTTACTTAATTAATTTTATTTATTTTGTTGTTCTGTGGAGACAGAACCTCACTATGTAGCCTAGGCTGTCCTTGAACTCACTATGTAGCCCAAGCTGGCCTCCAACTCATGGAGATCTTCCTGCCTCAGCTTCCCTAGTGCTGGGATTACAGGAATGCACCACCATGCCCAGCTTCTCATGAGACACTTGTCACTTTCTCCCTGTGTCCCAGCTGTCCCTGGGAACAGACCTCGCTTCACCAGTTCCACAGGCGTCAGGGCTGACACCCACCAAAGCCCTGGCCCCTACACCTAGCGGCCCCAGCCAGTGTCTGCCAGAGGAGAGACCTGAGCAGGGCCACCTCACCCAGGCCCTTCCCGGGTGTGGATCCGCCAGCGATTACCGCGAAGCTGGCCGGGGAGCCAGCGCTGATACTGTTCACCCTGGCGAAGGCCTGCAGGGGCCCCTGGCTCTCATCCTGGCCTGGCCTGCGGCTCAGGGCCTCCCTGTGGGCCTCGGCCAGGTCCCGGGCCTGCTTCTCCTTGTCGTGGGCATGCAGCTGGTGCAGGGCCTCCTCCACCTGCTTCATTAGAGCCTTGTGGTCATTTTGCAGGCCTGCGGGAGAGGAAGCGGTCAGCCCAGGAAGACGGCAGGGACTCCAGACACCTGCACGCTCCTGAATACTCAACCAGTGCTGTGACAGTGGGGCACTAGGCAGGCGGCAGGCAGAGGACAAGCCCAGGAATGAAGGCAGGGCCTACCGCAGCTGCAGAACAGCTCCCCGCGCTAACATCCGGGGACTGCTGAGAGCCTGGCCTGGGAGCCGTCCCTGCTCATCTAGAACATCTGGGCGGAAGTGAGCGAGGTGCTACCCAGCTTACAACAGGTCACTCTGCCTAGAAAAGCCCCACACAGGAGGGGCCAAGGGTGCCCAGAATCCCTGGCAACGCCTGGCGCATCGTCAGCTGGACAAGCCGCTGGACAACAGCCCTCACCAGAACGTGGCAGCTCTAATCAGTTCAGAAGGCTCTCTTCCTGGACAGGTATTTCTGCAGTCGCTTACAAGAAACAGTTTACAGTTACGATAAATGCACCACATTCACATAAGCTGTCAGGATAAATGGGTACAAAGTACATGGGACCTCTCTAAATTATTTTCTCAATTTTTTATTTTCCCATTTTTTGGGTAAATTTAAAACTATTCTAAAAATAAAGTCTACCAGTGCTCTGGGAGGCTGAGGCAGGAGGAAAAGTTCAAGCCAAGTGGGCCTCAGAGTGAGACCCTGGGCTACAAGGCTATATAGTGGGACTCTGTCTCAAAAAAAATAAATAAACAAAAATAAAAAGGGGAGATGTAGCTCAGTGTGTAACGCCCTGCTCAGTCCCTGAAATGAAAGTAAAAATTTGCAGAGGGAGGCACAAGGGAGAGGACAGAAACCGGGCCAAGAATTCAGATCACAGGCGCCCTCTACAGGTGGAGAGGCGAGGAAGTGGGGGCCCGGAGCCTCCAGGAGCCAGCCCTGCTGATGCCCGACTGCAGTCGGATGAGGCCCCCTCGGACTCCTTACCACCTCAGTGAGAAGATAAATCTGGGGTGTGAAGCTGAGGCAGGAGGATCTCAAGTTAGAGCCCAGCCCGGGCAACTTGGCAATTTAATAAGAGCCTGACTCACAAAAAAAGATGGAAGGAAGTGACGGAGGGAGGGAAGGAAATTTAAAAAAAAGAAAAATGAAAAAGGGGCTAGAGAAGTAGCTGTGTGTGAAAGTTCTGAGTTTAATTCCCAGTCTCATCAAAAGAAAAAAGTGTGGTTTTCAGCCAGAAAGGCTGTAGTCATTTGTCAGTGAGAATTAATCCTCTTTCCAACCTCTTATTTCCTGCTAGTTCCTTAATTAAAAACAAATAAATACTGAACCGGGAATGGCGGCACCCGCCTGTAATCCCAGCGCTTGGGAGGCTGAGGCAGGAAGATCGCTGTGAGTTTGAGACCAGCCTGGGCTACATAGTGAGTTCCAGGTCAGTCTCAACTACATAGTGAGACCTTGTCTCAAAAAACAAACAAAAAAAAACAAAACAACAACAACAACAAAACAAATAAATACTATCAGGCTGGCCTTGAATTCACTATGCAGCCCAGGCTGGCTGCAAACTTGCTGCCTCAGCCTCCAGAGTGCTGAGCCCACGGCATGTGCTACCCACCCCAGCTACATAAAGGATTTTATCTAGGAAAGCGAGGGGCCCCGCAGCAGAGCACATTTCTCCAGCTTTCCTGGCAGGAGGAAGGTCCTCTGAGGGGCAGAGGAACTGACAGAGGGCGCAGGGCGGGAGTTACAGCAGGGACTTTAAAGCTAAAGCACAAGCGCGTGTTGGGAGTGCCATGGTCCTTTCCCTCCCGCCGGACTCCAGGTGGATGTGGAGCCGGTTCCTCCCGCCCTGCCCCCAGCGCCCCCATGAGGACCTCATCCTTCATGCAGGGGAGACCTGTGACACCCAGGCCTGCACCATAGCAGACGCGTGCTGGACTGGACTAGGTCGGGAGCAATGTGGGCCGGGGTTGCCGCTGCTCTTCCAGTGCGGGCCCTGGCGAGGGACAGCCCTGAAGACAGCCAGAAACAGCCCCCCGGGTCTAACCCAGCCCCTGTTCTTGCTCCCTCGGCAGGGACAGAGACATCCTCGTTAAGGCAAGAGAAAGGTGACAGCAGCACTGACGCAGGTGGTCCGGGCACGGCCATCGGCAACCCCTGCAGCGCCGCGTCCCTGGGGCCACTCACAGACAATGTTGTGCCGGGCTGTGCGCACTTGGTACAGGTCCACGTCCGCGCGCGGGTAGCCCTCGCAGTCCACCAGTGGCTCATCCATCCCCACGCCTTTCTGCTGCAGGGAAGACACGAGGTTGGGCAGACGTCACGGGAAGAACGTCCAGACGCCTCACACCAACTCATAATAAAGGTGACAGCAGCTGGACACCGTGGAGCACACCTATGACCACAGCCCTCTGGGAGGCTGAGGCAGGAGGACTGCAAGTTTGACCCCAGCCTGGGCAACCTAGCAACTTATTGAGACCTTGCCTCAGAATAAAGAATAAAAATGAACTGGGAGTGTCGCTCAGTGAGAAGGCCCTGGATTTGATGCTCAGTACTGAGAGAAAATAAAGGCGACAGAAACATGCAGTCCTCAACACAGACCAGGAACTTTACCCAGACCCTCAGCTCACCTCGCAGGTGGGTGCTATTTGATTTATAATAACACAAGCAATGCAAGGACACACTCCCCTTTTTGAAACTAGGACAACGTATCTGAAATCAAAGATGCCTCTGGGCAGCTCGCACCTGCCCTATAGCCTTGAACCTGAGGGAATGAGAGCCTCAAAGAGCACCAGCTTTGAGCCTTCTGGATCAGGCAACCTAAAAGGGCTGTAGCAGCCCCAGAAGGACACCCTGATAGCACAGCTCTCTCCAGAGCCCCAGGTGGCAGGGAGGAGGAGGGAGAGACTTTCATCTGAGACAGGCTGTGAGCTTTGAATGTGGCCATGGGAACACACTCCCTCTTCAAAATGATACATTTGTTTCAATTTTGGTTTTTTGTTTTATTTTAGTCAGGGCCCCACTATATTGCCAAAGCTGGGCTTAGACTCCTGGGCTCAAGCAATCCTGCTGCCTCAGCCTCCCAAATTGCTGGGACTATAAGCACACACCAGTGTGGCTGACTTGTTTTAATGTTTTAAGATCTTTTCCTGACTAAGCCAAAGGGCAAAGCACAAAAGCAATGAAATACATCACAGGTGCAGGGCGGAGGCTCGGCAGGTTAGACTTGCACTTGAACCTCAATTCTGACAGTGCAGCCCTCCCCAGGCCTCAGCTTCCTCCTCACACAGGGGCAACAATCTTCCCTCCCTCCCTCCCTGCGTGTGCACTGAGCACAGAGCTAGGCACATGCCACGACCACTCCAGTGGAGTCTGCGTGACAATGCCGGTCACCTGGCAGAAACCAGACCAGAGGTGTCGTCCCCACGGGGTTAAGCCTCCTGGAAGTCCTTGGCACACACCGCATGCGAAGTCAGCCGTGAAGAGAATAGCTGGCCTCTCTGCCTGCAGTTTGGGGACATTGGGTTCATTTATAATTCTGTTCTATTTTGTCTTTATTACTATTTGTTCATTATCTGTAGAATTGTATTCTGGGCCCAGGACAGATCAGGAAAAATTAGATGTCCCTAGAGATGGGGAGGTGTTGGGGCACAAGAGGACGGGCGGCCAAAGTGCTGACCCTGAGCCCCGGACTGTGAAGTCCTGAAGGTGATCCTGAAGGTGACATGCTGAAGCCAGTCCTTTGTTTTACAAACTTCCCCTTCTGACTGTGTATAGGTGTGGTTTTACCTTAACTTAGTGGTCTTAGCTTTTGTGATTGTATATAGGTGTGGTCTTACCTTGACCTTGTGGTCTTAGCTTTTACAGTACTATTGTCTATCTTTCTCATGCCTGCTTGTGACTGAAATCACTCTTGAGGTGTGCCCTTGAAACTAGTATATATACACCTAGAGTTAGAAATAAAATTGCAGCAGCTACTACCTTCACTACTCAGTGCTGTGTGGTTTCTGACTGTCGCCGCCGAACCTGCTCCCACCTTTCTGAAGATCCCTGTTCTCCTCGTGAAATCCAGTCTTTGCTCCCCTACGGTCGGTAGCAGGCACACACAGGGAGTGGTGGGGTGGAGAGAGGACCTAGTGATATGTCCACACCCTACTCTCAGAACCCGAAGATGTGATTTCTTAGGGAGAGGAGCTTCAATGGTCTGATTAAAAATCTCAAGATAGCCGGGCATGGTGGCACACGCCTGTAATCCCAGCACTTGGGAGGCTGGGCAGGAGGATCGCTGTGAGTTCGAGACCAGCCTGGGCTACATAGTGAGTTCCAGGTCAGTCTCAACTACATAGTGAGACCCTGTCTCAAAAAACAAAACAAAACAAAGAATCACAAGATAAGACCATCCTGGTTTCTGGGTGGCACCTAAATCCAATAACCAGGATCCTTCTAAAGGAAAAGCAGGCTAGGTGTGGTGGTGCACACCTGTAACCCCAATGCTCAGGAGGCTGAGTCAGGCGGGTCACACTGAGTTTGAGGCCAGCCTGGAGTACTTGGTGAGACCCTGTCTCAAAAAACAAACAAAATGAATAAATGGGGAGGCTGGGGACTTAGCTCAGTGGCACCACACCTACCTGGCAAGCACAAGGCCCTGAGTTCAATCTCTGGTACTGAGGAAAAAAAAAAAAAAAAAAAAAAAAAAAGAACAATTGGCCAAAGGAGATTTGGGGCACAGAACCACGGAGAGAAAACCATAAGAAAATGGTTTCCTTCAGAGACTGAAGTCACACAGCTACAGCCCAGGGCTGTTGGGAGCCACCAGAAGCTGGAGAGGGGCAAGGACAGTCTCCTCGGAGCCTCTGCAGCCAGTCCTGCCACCACCTTGGCTAGACTTCGGGCCTCCAGAGCGAGGAGAAAGAAGTTCTTGGTCGGAGCCACTATCTCTGAGGTGACTTCAGAGTGGCTCGGGGAACTAGTGCATTCAAGGTGACAAACACTGACTGCGATTACTGGTGCATCCAGCCACAAGCTGTCGGGGTGTGAGGACACCAAGGACAGGAACCAGTTCACTTTCCTCTGGGAACCCCCACACCTGTTTCCCGAAGAGCAAGCACCTCATGGGGGAAAGTGGGCATGGCAGCACACACTTGTAATCCCAGCACTTGCAAGGCTGAGGCAGGAGGATCACCACACATTTGAAGTCACCCTGCCCTGGGCTACACAGTGAGTTCAAGGCCATTCTGAACTACACAGTGAGACCCTGTCTCAAAAACAAAAACACAAACCCAAGCCTACCTGGCAAGCACAAGGTCTTTAGTTTAATCCCTAGTACCAAAAAAACAAAACAAAACACCACAAAAACCAAACCAAAAAACCAAAGGGCAAGATCTGCACCACTGCCCATTCATGCACAGAATTAAGGAATGCCAACCTGAAAGGACCTATTCCTTTTCTTTTCTTTTTTTTTTCCCCCCAGAACCGAAGATCGAACTCAGGACCTTGTGCTTGCAAGGCAGGTGCGGGGCCACTGAGCTAAATCCCAGGCCCCAGGACCCAATCCCTTTTCTGATTCTCAGCAGCACCACAGTAATAAACATGTAAACCTCACATTTTTGAGATGAGATGTGCATTTTCCATATGCAGGATATGATATAATACATTTTCCTTTTAGAACTAATTTATAAGTGAACACGTAGGCCAATATCAAAGGAATACCCCCGATATGGTTCTGCCAGTGGTAGAAAAGTAACAATTGTTGGGAATCTGCTTCAAAGTACAGGTTTTGGATTTTACAGTCTGATTCCCATGTGAGACTGAACAAGCGACTTTCCCTTCCCAATCTACAAGGGCAAACACTAACTTCCAAGTGCAGTCGCGAGGACTTCGTGATGTAACACGCAAGGGGCAGCATGCAGCACGCGACACGCAGCCTCCCTGCAATATTTCAGCTTGATCCCGTCGCCCTAATGCATCCTAACCCAGCCTATTTGACCTGGGGTCGGAACCAGCGCTCGGCCAGAGTCTTTGCGGACACCTCCCGGGGCCGACAGAGGCCGCAACTGAGGCGCCCTGGGCCGCGCGGGGCCGGAAGATCGAGGCTGAGGCGCATCCCCCCACCCCGGAGACGCCCGGAGCCCCGGCCCACACTCACGCCCTCCAGGACGTCATAGTTGGCCTTGATCTGCGCCTCGATCTCCTCCTTGCGCCGCATCAGCTCCTGGATGTCGCTGACAGCCGCCGCTCTGGCCTCCGGGGAGCCCCCGCTCCGCCAGGCCTCGTCGTCCGACATAGTGGAACCAGGCTTTGGAGCTTGTTCACTGGGATACCCGGCTACGGAGGCCGGAGGAGACTGTGCCTAAGGCTCGCGCCGTGGGTCAAAACACTGCAGCCATCTATGCGCGGATTAAGCGAGGGGCGGGGCGGTGGCAGTGGGCAGGGCCACCGGAATCCTTCGGTTCACTCCCTAATACCAAGGGGAAGGAAAAAAAAAAAAAAAAGAAAGAAAAGATGCAATAACTAGATGCAATCTATTCCTTGACAGGATTCTATTTTTTTCTCTTCACCTCAGAAAAGCTACAAAAGGAGCCGAGTGTGGTGGCTCATGCCTGTAACTTGGAGCCCAGCCTGGGAAATTTAGGATTTAGCAAGAGCTCTCTCAAAATGAAAATTTAAAACAAGCAAACAAAAAGGAGTGGGGATCTAGCTCAATGTGAAGACCCTGGATTACATCCTTAATACTGAAAAAAAAACTATAAAAAATATCTTGGAACAATTTGGAGAAAATTGAATGTGTACAGTATAGTATCAATACTAAATTTCCTGATTTTATTACTTGAACTGTAGTCATATAAGACTATGTACTTAGAACATGCACCTTGTAGTTTTTAGGGACAAGAGAGATGACTTAGCCGGGTCACGCCTGCACTCCCAGCACTTGGGAGGCTGAGGCAAGAGGATTGCCTCAAATTTGACTACATAGGGAAACCCTGCCTCAAAAAAATAATGCATGTCTTTTTTGGTGGGTGTTGAGACAGGGTCTCACTGTGTAGTTGAGACTGCTCTGGAACTCACTATGTAGCTCAGGCTGGTCTCGAACATGCAGCGATCCTCCTGCCTCAGCCTCTGGAGTGCTGGCATTACAGGCGTGCGCCACCATGCCCGGCCTGCCTCAAAAAAATAAAATGAGAGAGGTGACTTATTTTCAAATGGCTCCGAAAAAAATGTGAATATAAATTTGTAGACAAGTGAATGATGATAAATGCAGCAAAATGTAAATAATTGGTGACTGTGGATTAATTATATTGGTTTTGCAATATTTTGTAAGTTTAGTCTTTTCAACATAAAAAGTTTTAAAAATATTTTTTCTCAGTTTTTAAAATAGTTTATTAGTTCATGTTTATAGTACATAATGATCACATCTGCCAGGAGAAAATGGTCCACTGTATACACTGCATTCTGTCCATCAGTAATGAGACAGAAATTAGGGAAACAATACCAGTCAGCAACAAGAAAAAATAAAATACCAAGAAATTAACCTAACCAAGGAAGTGAAAGAGCTCTACAACAAAAACTACTCTGAAAAAAGGAGATTAGAGGACATCAGACAACAGAAAGACTTGGCCAGTTGTGGTGGTGCATTCCTATAATCCCAGTGCTCAGGAGGCTGAGGCAGGAGGATCACCATGAGTTCAAGGCACCCTGAACTACATGGCAAGACTCTATCTCAAGTAACCAAAAAATAACAGCAAAAATGTACCTACAGCAGGCACGGAGTACATGCCTGCAGTCTCATCTACTTTGAAGGCTGTGGCAGGAGGACCCCTTGTCTTAAGGGTTCAAGACTAGCCTGAGCAACGCAGTCAGGCCCCATCTCAAAGAAAAACAAAAACCCACATCTAACAGTAAACAGCCGTATGCTCTGCTTCCTAGAATCTGCAACTCCAGACTCCCAGATAGACAGAAGACACCAGGGTTCTGAGGCAGAAGCTGTGCAGAGAGCATCCCTTTCCGAGCCAGGATCGAGATCCAAATTGGGGACAGGCGGTTGAGAGCCGCCAAAGGCGCCCCTCAAGTCCTGTTATCAGGGCCTGCGAGCTGGGCAGGGCCACTGGGTGGAGCTGCTCTTATCTCCTGAGGCACAGAACTGAGAGCCTGAGTTTTGGGGTGACAGCAGCTGTATCGCTGGCATTAGCGACGGCTTGGAAGGTCTCTAGGGCTAGTGGGAGGGCGTGCGGGCCACAGATCTCTAGGGCTGGTGGGAGGGCGTGCGGGCCACAGACTGATCGTGGGCCCCTCCCACTACTCTCAGAGGCTCAAGATCCTATCTATTTGCATCAGGGAAAAAGGAGCCAACTGTCAGTTCTTGTCCCTCCAGTCTCTATTCCTCCTCGTACATTAGCATCTGACCCTTCCCTTGGGGAAGTCATCCTGGCCTCCTCTCCGTCTCTGTCGGGGGGAGGGGGGCATTGAGCTAGAACTCTGATTGGTTCGGGGTGGTCATGTGACCAGAACTGGCCAATGGGAGTTTTCCTTGGGACTTCAGCCTTGAGAAAGAGCCTCAGCTCCAGGTTGGCTGGGCTGATGGAATAGCAGGTAGTGGCCACACCTGAGTCTAGGCAGGGAACATGCACCTGTGGGTGATGTCAGCACAGTGAGGAGGAGCTGATGAACATTTTCTGAAAGGAGTTTGAGTACAGTAAATACTTCAGCTTTTGAGGATCATGATTTTTGTTGCAGCTCCTTAACTCTGTAGCTTGAAAGCAGCAAAAATATAATATGTAAATGAGCAGACATGATTGTGTGCCAGTAAAGTTTTATGTACAAAAAAAGATGATGCGGCCGGGTGTGGTGGCGCATACCTGTAATCCCAGCACTTGGGAGGCTGAGGCAGGAGGATTGCTGAGTGTTCGAGGCCAGCCTGGGCTGCGCAGTGAGTTCCGGAGCAGTCTCAACTACATAGAGAGACCCTGTCTCAAACCAACAAACAAACAAACAAAGATGATGCGTAAGAAACAACAGCTGTCCAGATTTGAAGCGAAGGCCAGAATTTCACTACCCCTGCCGTAAACGTTGAGGAAAACAGTAAAAACAACCTTGATTTGTAGCCCTTGCTGGATCCTGTGGTGTAAACTTTACTGTGGCCAATTCCAAACCACACTGAGGTCACTGAACTTGAAAAAGACTGGCACAATGTCACGTCCCACAGATACAGTAGGTGTAAATAACCCCAGAAGGACAGATAATACTGCAAAGGAGGGAAATTATTAGGAAGCGATAGGATTTGAACGTTTATTGATTGTTTTATTTACTTTTTTGAGACAGATCTTGCTATGTAGTTCAGGCTGGCCTTGAACTCACTGTGTATCTCAGGTTGGCCTTGACCTCCAGGCAATCATCCTGCTTCAGGCTCCTGAGTGCTGGGTCTACAGATGTGCGCCACCACACCCTGCCGTCACTTTAATGTTAGTTTTTCGTTATTGTTGCTTTTACACTTAATTTTCAAGTATAGTTTCAGTCCTACTGTTTAAAAGCTGAGTCAGAAGCTTTCCAAGGAACCTGGATGTGCTCTCAGGAGCAGCCCCTCTGCTTTGGTGGCCTGAGATTTAGGAGGCGGAGGCACCGTGATGGGAACAGTACAGAGGAAAACAGCAGCATCAAAGCCAGGGCACATCAAAGGGGTTTTCTTTCCTCTTGGTCACCAGCGCGTCAGAGGCGGCATGGCTTGCACAAGTCCAGGGTGAAGTTACCCAATCCCTGATCCCTGCCAGGCTCAACCTGCGTCCTTGCTGTGCAGAGTCCCTGCCTGTGGATGTACCCACCTCCCAGTTTGGCATGCAACGTTCATACGTGGCCACAACAATAGGGGAGTTTGCTTTGGCATCTGATTGTCTGAATTAGTTGTAGTTCATCGCTTAACCTTTCAGCCCTCCTCCCCCACTGCCTCCTCCCCTACTGAGGAGTCTGGGGATACTAAGCTTCCAGTGCTTTGCTCAGCCTAACAACCCTCTGAGGTTGGGCTTGTTATACCCATTTTACAGTTGAGGAAACTGAGGCTTTGCAAAGCTAGGCAGTTCATACCAGCATGTGGAGTTAGGATTTACGTCTTCTTACCTTCAATCCTGGTTTCTCACCTTTCCAAGGGTCTGGCTGCCTGTAAACACCTTCAGGATATTCTCTTGTTTGTTTGTTTAGAGACAGGGTCTCTTTATGTAGTTCAGGCTGACCTTGTAGCCCAGGTTGGCCTTATTTCATAGCAATCCTCCTGCCTCAGCCTCCCAAGTGCTAAGATTACAGGCACATACCTCCATACCTGGCAATTTTGTGTGTGTATGTATGTGTGGTGGTTTTCTGATACTTTTTTTACTTTAAAACAGGCTAGTTTTGTTTTATGAATCATCTCAATAAAATAAATTGTATTTAATTTAATTTTTTTCTTCATTTTATTTTTGAGAGAGAGAGAGACAGCATTTCACTGTGTTGCCCAGGCTGGCCCCAAACTTCTGGGCTCATGGGATCCCCCAAGTAGCTGAGCCCGAAGTACACCACCACACACAGCTGGGCATTCTTTTAATATTGGGAAATAATATTTGTATTGAAGATCACTACACAAAGAAAGTTGCATCTAAGTGTATCGCTCTGAATTTCTACAAACGGAGCACATCTGAAGATGTGCTAGATACATGAACCAGCTTCCCACACCAGTGGAACCACCACGTACTGCAAACACATGCTATAAAAACAAAGCTAAGCTGGGATTTAGCTCAGTGGTTCCGCAGACTACCTTGCAAATACACAAGGTCCCGTTTGATCCCCGGTACCAAAAACAAACAAACAAACAAAAAACCAAAGCTGAATCCTCCTGTCAAACCAACTCAGGTATTTAATTTTGTTTCTTAGAACAGAAACGGGGTTGGGGACATAGCTTAGGAACAGAGCAATTGCCCGGGCCTATCACCAGCACCACCGAAAAGGGAAAAGAAAGTAAAGAGAGCAAACTCACTGATAACCCTTTATCCGTGAACACCCAGGCGGTGGTGTCTGTGTAGCCATGTACATAGATAAGATACTTCTCTGCACATTTTCTTAACATTATGCTTAGTGGGTGCTGATCAATACAGGTTTTGCCATTAGAAGAGTATCCAGGGCTGTCTGTCTCACTTGAATGTAGTCTTGTGATCTTTTCTTGGCGGTTGGGATTTAAGGCTGGGCCTCATGTATGTGAAGCACAGACTCCACCTTGGACCTGTGTCCGCAGCCTGATTGCTTTATCACATTACTGTGAGCTGGGCATGGTGGTGCACGCCTGCAATCCCAGCCCTTGGGAGGCTGAGGCAAGAGGATTGCTATGAGTTCGAGGCCAGACTGGCTACATAGTGAGATCCTGTCTCAACTAAACAAACAGGATAGTTTAT